TTTAGAGCTTTATAGGTAAGAAGCAATATTTTAAATTCACTACGAAGCTTAACAGGCAGCCAGTGTAAGAAGAATAAAATTGGGGTGATATGATCATATTTTTCTAGACCTGGTAAGAACTCTGGCTGCTGCATTTTGTACTAGCTGAAGTGTGTTAATAGAGGATGCATTACAGTAATCCAGCCTAGAAGTCATAAAAGCATGAACTAGCTTTTCTGCATCTGAGATGGACAGCATACTTTGTAATTTAGCGATATTTCTCGGATGAAAGAAGGCAGTTTTTGTGACATGGGATATAGGATTTTCAAAGGTTAAATTGCTGTCTAATATGCTGCCCAGATCTTTTACAGTAGAGCTAAAGCTAACTTTGTATCTCTCTAATTGCAGGTTGAGTTGTGAGATTTGCTGTGTACAGGATTTAGGCCCAATAAGTAATAATTCTGTTTTGTCTGAGTTTAAGAGAAAGAAATTGTTGGTCATCCAGTATTTAACATCTTTAATACATTTAGTTAGCTTAGACAGTTCAGACGTCTCATCAGGTTTAGTTGAAATATATATTTGAGTATCATCTGCATAGCACTGAAAGCTGATCTCATGTCTTCTAATAATGTCTCCCAGGAGTAGCATATATATTGCAAACTGCAAAGGACCTAAAACTGATCCTTGAGGCACCCCATACTTTACTAAGCTGACTTGTGAAGGCTGTCCATTAATATTCACAAACTGGCAATGGTCAGCTAAGTATGACTTAAACCATTGTAGAGCCTGTCCCTGGACACCTGTAGAATTTTAGTGGTCTATGAGGATATTGTGGTGAATGGTGTCATGCGGCACTAAGATCGAGTAAAACTAATAGCAAGATCCACCCTTTGTCAGCAGCTAAGAGTAAATCGTTGGTTATTTTCACTAATGCGGTTTCTGTACTGTGATGAGGCATGATGACAGTACATAATATGTTAGTAATTTGGCATAGTATTCAGCTTAAAGTGCTAATTAAAGGCTTAACTAGGTTAATTAGGCAAGGTAGGGTTATAAGGCAAATAATTGTGTAACAGTGGTTTGTTCTGTAGACAACAGGGAAAAACAGGCTAACAATATTGATTTTAAAACTAGTTAAAATAATAACAACTTTTAAAAACTGCTTTTGTTCCAACCAAAATACAAGAAATAAGACTTTCTTTAAACCCAAAAGCATATTAGAGGAAACACTGTGAAAATTCCCTTTCACTGTTAAACATCACTTTGGAAATATTTTACAAATAATTTAAATTTCACAGGAAGGCTAATAGGGTTTATGCCGAGCTAGTGTTGTTCCCATACTGACAAACTTCCGGTGACCTGTTATTGTGAGCTTTTTTCCATTTTATACTTTGGCATTTATTTAGTTGCTCAAGCATAAAACGAAACAAAAAGCCGTCTACTCGCACGCGCCTGTCCATATCGGCAAGTTAGCCCAGAAGCTCTATTAAATATACTAGGGTAAAATAAATACTCATATTATAAAGACATGGCGGGGAAAAATGTAATTTAATGCGGTGCTTTTTGTACAATCTGATACCCACTTTATATTGGATATCACTTAGCCAGTTGAGATATCTGATTTTTAAAGAAAACAGACCTTAAACGCACCGATTTTACAATGCCATTCAGTTCACCGGAAGCGGTTAGCCCAGGTTACTGGCAAATTAAAAGTCCTATTAGCATGCTTCGACATATACCCTATTGCCTTCAATTATACATTGAAATATGAAGTATATGAGTCACTTTTACTGTGTTGTTTTTAGATCGTCTCATCAAATTTTCACTGCATTAATCTGGATACACTTGAAGATACACTCTCTGTCCAAGCTTCTTCTGGATACAATATTATGTACAACAATAAAAAAAAGCTCACATAGATGTACATTACAGCGAGACCAGACCTTATAAATTCTTCTGGCACAATCTAAAGAGCAATTCCTCTCGTATGTTGCCGCAGGATAGCAATTTTCTGTCATCTCTGCTGGAATGTAATATGAAAACTGTACAAAGCAACATTTATTTTTAACAACACTATGGACGGCAGGCGCAGCGAAGCAGGTAAAACCGTAGATCTGTGCGTGCGATATGCATCACGTAACAAAACAAGAGTCATCATTTTCACAGTCCATAAGAAAACCGCATTTTCAGATTTATCCACTTCGGAGAGTATCTTCAAAGAAGCTCGCTCTTACAGTCAGTGAGGACAGAAAGCTAAAATTACTCATTTTTGGAGCACTCTTCCTATAATTTGGGATGTGTTAGGACCAGTATGGCAAATGCTCTCCATCCTGCGCACCAGCATTTATCTCCACACCAAACTGCTGCTTCTGTTTTTTTCCCCATTCTGTTGCTAATTGATGCAATTATGGTTCTATTTTTGCTGAAAGTCTGCTAAATGCAGGCACATTTTGACAAATGAGCTGTTGGTGAGGACCGGGGCTTCACTGACTATCTTCATCCCTAATGAGAACAACACTTTCTGATCTCCAGGTAAACTGTTTTCTGCCTCATGTGGTTTGAGACTGGAGAAACAAACTAAAGGTAGCGAAGCCTCTGACTACACGTCATTTTTCAGGAGCGTGACAGTGCCTTCGCAGGTTTAAGCAGTGTCGTTTTACTTCTAACAAGCTGATGTTTTTAGCGAGCAATAGTGGAGTGTGTCATAATGCAACAATGCATTTTTTTCGTCAAACAAAAGCTTTATAGCAGCGGTAATACTCGAACACCTCTCCTGAGATGTATTTTCTTACTTCTGTTTTTGTGAAAAGGTTTAAAAAATTGTGGTTTGATTATACCTATAGTGGATAAACCTAGGCAGTTGAATAATAGTAGTCGGAATACATGGATACATACTGTAATTGAAATACTGTGAGTGTAAAATCCCAGTGTAAACCAGGTCAATCAGAACAAAAACAGACTGACATACCACATGGGATCATTAATATGCATGCCCCAGGCTGCATTTGATTGGCCACAACATTTACTAGTGAGATGACAATAATTCATATTAATTTTACAATATTTAATAATTAAGTTTTTTCTATACTTTGTATATAAGACAATTATTTTGAAAACAGGACAGGCATTAAGGAAAAAAGCCATATCCTAAACAAATTTAAAAAATATAACCGCCTCGCTATATTTGGAAAAAAAATAAAAATGCAGCATAATTCAACCTCCATCAGTGCCAACGCTATTCTTACTGTATAAGTTAAGTCAATATTATTAAATGTATATATTTATTTATTTTTTTTATAATTTTATATTTATACACTCACCTGCCACTTTATTAGGTACACCTGTCCAACTGCTTGTTAACGCAAATTTCTCATTAATTTCTCACAAATTTCTCAATTAATCAGCCAATCACATGGCAGCAACTCAATTCATTTAGGCTTGTAGACATGGTAAAGACGATCTGCTGCAGATCAAACCGAGCATCAGAATGGGGAAGAAAGGGGATTTAAGTGACTTTAAATGTGGCATTATTGTTGGCTGAGGCTACAAATTACACAGGGTCACCAAAATTGGACAATTGAAGATTGAAAAAAAACGTTGCCTGGTTTGAGTCTCAATATCTGCTGTGACATTTGGATGGTAGGTTCAGAATTTGGCGTCAACAACATGAAAGCATGGATCCATCCTGCCTTGTATCAATGGTTCAGACAGGTGGTGGTGTAATGCTCTGGGGGATATTTTCTTGTGGCCATTTGTATCAAATGAGCATCATGTCAAGTAGTGTTGCTTACCATGTTTATTCCTTTATGACCACAGTGTACCCATCTTCTGATGGCTACTTCCAGCAGGATAATGCACCATGTCAAAGCGCGAATTATCTCATATTTTTTTCTTGAACATGACAATGAGTTTACTGTACCCAAATGGCCTCTACAGTCAACAGAACTCAATCCAATAGGGCACCTTTGGGATGTGGTGGAAAAGGAGATTTGCATCATGGATGTGCAGCCAATAAGTCTGCAGCAACTGCGTGATGCTATCATGTCAATATGGAGAAAAATCTCTGAGGAATATTTCCAATACCTTGTTGAATATATGCTACGAAGGATTAAGTCAGTTTTGAAGGAAAAGGGGGTCCAACCAGTTACTAGTAAGGTGTACCTAATAAACTGGTGTATATCTGTTTGCATCAATCAATCAACCAACCAACCAATCAAAAGTTGTTTTTTAAAACACTGAGATGTGTATTTACTTAATTTTTACCACATTGGAGTCAAATTTTAGAATAGGAATTGAAAGGCAACTTTAATTCTGCCATTGACAGTATTTTCTATCATTTATGAAACAGTGCATCCTTACCATTAATCCACTTTTTTTAAGTTTCCATGCATGCTTTCAACATCTACCAAGTCTCTCGTATTTCACACCCATCTCCCACCACCATCCTGTTTTGTTATTTCTTGCTGGAAACTCCCTTAATGGGTATGACCCAATTTTAAAAACAAAAAAGCTAATCCAGGCTCATTCTATATATGTATACCCTATATACATTTATGGAGAGCACCAAATACGTCCCAGGAGCTACTCTTTTTTTTTTTTTTTTTTTTTTTTTTTTTTTTTCTTGTTGTTTTGTTTTCCAAATCCACCAGAGGCCGCTGTGTACATTTTTTTTCAGATCTCAAATTTCTTTCGCGAGTGCCATTCGCTCCTGCTGATCTCACCGCTGCTGCTACTGACTGACTGACTGACCGATCGACTGACCCACCCTCCTCTTAAACCCAACTGATAGTGTTTCTAAATCACAGATTAAACAGCGCTCACCCACTTTCCTAAACCATACTGACAATGTTTTCAAAAGCAATACAGAAAAAGAAAAGCCCTCGTGGCCTCCTGATTTTTACCATGTTTTCAAGTTTTACCACATTCTCACCCCGTTATTTACTTGTTTAAGTTTTTGCCTTTTGTTTTTGTCTTACATGCTTTCTGGAACCGTTCTTTGCTGGACTCAAACCCCACTGTAGCAGTCAACTCCACTCTGTGTCTCAAATTCTCCGACGTACACGGCAAGCCACTGGAGAAACGTGCAAGAGCAGAGAAGCCTTCTAAATGGAGGTAAGTGGTCAGCTGGTAAACCAAAGATGAACAACATCATACCATCCTGTAGCATTCGTTTTAAAGACTAAATGCGGCCATACTTATATGTAGATTTCTCTACAGGTGATAGATGCAGCATTTAAACTGGGTCAGTAATAGTAGACAACCATCCCTCCAAACATACCGTTGTGTAAAATACTGATACTGACTGGCGAAATACATACATACATACATACATACATACATACATACATACATCAAAAAATAAGGCGACGCAGTGGGGCAGTAGATAGTGCTGTCGCTGGTTCGAACTCGGCTCGGCTCAGTTGGCGTTTCTGTGTGGAGTTTGCATGTTCTCCCTGCGCTCGCTTGGGTTTCCTCCGGGTGCTCCGGTTTCCCCCACAGTCCAAAGACGTGGTACAGGTGAATTGGGTAGGCTAAATTGTGTATGAATGAGTGTGTGGATGTTTCCCAGAGATGGGTTGTGGCTGGAAGGGCATCCGCTGCATAAAAATGTGCTGGATAAGTTGACGGTTCATTCCACTGTGGCGACCCTGGATTAATAAAGGGACTAAGCCGACAAGAAAATAAATAAATAAATAAATAAAACCTGGTGGGGAAAGAGTTAAACAATTTGACTCTCTTGAAATAGCTTTAATATAATCAGCTACTATTTTTATGCTGATAAGCTTTGGATAGTGCACATTATGCAGAACTACAGTTAATCCAAGCTACATTTACCACTACACAGGCAGCTCCTGTGGCAGGTAATTGAACTTTTGGAAGATCATGAACACGTACTTTCACCCAGGGACCAAAAAAAGGTGTCTGAGGCTGAGAAGATAAGCAGCGGTTCACTCCTTTCGCGAATTCAATTCCATTAGGCGCGATTCCTTTAACAGTATCTCTTAATAAATCAATAGCAATTCCAGGCCTCCAGGTAATTCCAATCAAACACCGCTGTTTAAACTAGGCTAAAACACAGCGCCGTTTACTTTTGGGGGCTGTCTGTGGTTGACAGAAGTGTTTAACACTGATTTTCCCCAGTTACGCATCATTCAGAAGCACGTTAAAGACTGCATCTTTACTTCTTGTTAATAATACAAGTTTTTTGCGTGTGTTGTTATGGATGTCTATCATGAATCTCAACATCTTTGTTAAACATCTGGTCTGGTAAGCTGACGTTTGCATTTCTGAAATACAGAAAAAGCGGTTATAAGGCTGCTTGGGATAACTAAGGAAACTGCTTTACAAAATGTGTGTGCTAAATGAAGAATAATGAGAATAATGGATTGCGGACTGGGGCGAAACGTGGATGAAGCCTGGTATGGTATGTGTAATGTACATTCAGCCCATCATTATTATTAAATAAACCTCAACGATGTGATCTCTGGTGTCCCGGAGGGGATTGTTTTATAATAATGATCGTCTGACTGCACATTATTCTGCTCATTGTGTGGCTGCTTAACAAATAAATAGATGGACATAAAAATATATAGTCTAGATGTGATAATCTGTAATTGTATAAAAGGAGAGTGCAGAATAATGGGGAAAACAAGAATCATTTTGGAGGGAGTGTTTGCGTTAGACAATATTAACCCATATAAAAAAAAAACATTTAATGGATCATTCACCTCAAAATTACAGTTGCATCATGATTAACTTAAGGTTGTTAAAAACCTTCATGAATGTTCTAGAACCTAAAGGAAATATTGATGTGTGTGTGTGTGTGTGTATGTATGTGTATGTATATATATATATATATATATATATATATATATATATATATATATATATATATATATATATATATATTATCCCCCCTGAATTATTTGCGCCCCTGTTTAATTTTTTCACCAGTTTCTGTTTAATGGAGGGAAGATTGTTTCAACACATTTCTAAGCATAATAGTTTTAAAAACTTATTTCTAATAACGGATTTATTTTATCTTTGCTGTGATGACAGTAAATAATATTTACTTGATATTTTTCAAGACACTTCTATACAGCTTAATGTGACATTTAAAGGCTTAACTAGGTTAATAAGGGTAACTAGGCAGGTTAGGGTAACTAGGCAAGTTATTGTATAATGATGGTTTGTTCTGTAGATTATTGAAAAAAAATTAGCTTAAAGGTGCCAATAATTTTGTCCCAACAAAGTTTTTTTTTTTTTTTTTTTTTTTTTTTTAATTAATAACTGCTTTTAATCTAGCCAAAATAAAACAAATAAGACTTTCTCCAGAAGAAAAAAAAATATTATCAGACATACTGTGAAAATTTCCTTGCTCTGTTAAACATTGTTTGGGAAATATTTTTAAAAAATCAAAATCAAAAGGGGGCTAATAATTCTGACTTCAACTGTATATATACATATATAAACAATAACGTCAAATTATCTTCTTTTTTGATTCATAGATTATTTCTAAAGTTATTATCCTTTTTTTTTTTTTCATTTAACACTCTAATGGCTTACAATTTTGGAGCTAACTTCAATTATTTTCTTAATTTGCAAATAATTAAATTTGATTAATTCCCATGTGTTATTAAAACAAAATATATTAATTAAGATGTATAAATATCCTTAAAAAGGACATCTGTCAAATGTCATACACTGTAAAAAAATCTGTAATTTTTACGGTTTATTTCCAGCAGCTTGGCTGCAAGAAAAAAAAAAATAAATAAAATAACAGCCATTAAATTACATAAAATTACTGTAAAATAACAGGCTGAATTACAGAAATTTAGCAGAAATTAAAATTTAAGTAAATTTTTGTATTTTAATGTCCGTCATTTTACAGTAAATTTCCAGCTGCTGGAAATAAACCCTAATTATAGATTTTTTTTTTTTTTTTTTTTTTACAGTGTATGTTTTGTGATATACTTGGCAACTTATGTTAAAAATATTTCCTAAGTTCTAATAACTTATTTCTTAAAGTGCAATTTTTTGTTTTAACTAGAGTGATTTTGTTAAACCAAAATTTGTTTAGCTTTGTTTAACTTTATTTGATGAGTTGTCTAGATTTGGACAATGTTTAGATGTCAGTTAGATCTTTTCTGACAGGCTTACCTATGATTTTAATCATGTTTTGAATGGAATTTGCATTAAGCGTGACAGAAGATTTTTTTTTTAGCCATGTTTAGCTGTATTTGATGATCAGTCTAGTATTGGACTGTTTAAACGTCTATTAGATTTTCACTGACAGACTTAGTCTTGTTTAGCCCTATCTTTAGCCTTGCATTTGATGACTAGTCTGGACTATAAATATTAGATGTATGTTGAACAGAAATTTGCTTGTTGGGAGATAAGTGAGTTAGTTGTTTGGAAGCACACCCTGGGTTTAAAGGATCATGAGGGTGAATAAATGACAGAATTTTCAAAGAACTCCAAATGGACGTAATTTGCTGCATGATTCTTTCCTTTGATTTCCACACACCGGTCGGTTTGTAACACCTCAGATAAATACAGGCTGATTTTCATTATTGAGTGAACTGTTTCTTGAAAAGGCTCTTTCACAGAGCGCTGTGGTGGTCATAGATTGTCAGGGTGGGATAAATGCATCCTGTTCCAGAGTTAAAAGACTGAAGAGATGAAAAACAATGATGGAAGAGGGTTTTATAGCCTTGTTGAACTGTATTTGGTGACTAGTCCAGATTTGAACTATGTTTAGATCTGTTAGATTTTCACTTACAGACTTCGGCTTGATTAGCTTTGTTATATTTGTTTATCCTTGTTTTAAGGATTGTATAATGGCATTTGATGACTAGTCTAGTTTTGGATTATTTTAGACATCTATTAGACATATTTTAAACAAAACTGCTTGGTGGGAGGTAAACGAGTTATAATTTTGTTTGGAAAGCACATGGTTTAGAACAGGGGTCACCAACCCTGTTCCTGGAGAGCTACCTTCCTGCAGATTTTAGTTGCAACCCTGACCAAACACACCTGTTTGTAATTTTTAAGTGCTGCTTTGGGTACTAATAATTGCTTCAGGTGTGTTTGATCAGGGTTGGGACTGAATTCTGCAGGAAGGTAGCTCTCCAGGAACGGGGTTGGTGACCCCTGGTTTAGAAGATCACAAACATGAATAAATGACAGAACTTTCAAAGAATTGTAAAGTTGCTGCATGATTCTTTCCTTTTATGCTCTACAGACCGGTCGATTTGTAACACCACAAGTAAACACAAGCTGATTTTTCATTACTGAGTGAACTGTTCTTGAAAAGGTTTTTTTTCACAGAGAGCTGTGGTGGTCATAGTTAAGAGATGGAGAGATGGTAAACAAAGATGGAAGAGGGGTTTTTAGTCTTATATTTGAAGACTATTTTAGTTTTGGAATATGTTTAGACATCAATAAGATTATTTTCACTGTCAAACTTAGCCTTGTTTAGTTGTGTTTGACAGAATTTGATGCTTAGTCTAGATTTGGAATATGTTTAGACATCTATTCGATTTTCTCTAATAGATCTGGCCTGTTCAGCCCTATTTTTAGCCTTGTTTAGCTGCATTTGATGACTAGTCTGTATTAGGACTATGTTTAGACATCTATTAGACGTCTTTTCAAAACACTAAATTGCTTGGTGAGAGTTAAATGACATATACTTTTGTTTGGAAAGCACTTGCTAGGTTTAGAAGATCACAAGGGTGAATAAATGACAGTACTTTCAAAGAATTGTAAAGTTGCTGCATGATTCTTTCCTTTTATGCTCCACAGACTGCTCGGTTTGTAAATGCAAGCTGAATTTTCATTATTGAGTGAACTGTTTCTTGAAAAGGCTCTTTCACTGAGGGCTGTGATGGTCATGGATAATCAGACCAAATGAATGCCTCCCGTTCCAGAGTTAAGAGACTGGAGAAATGGGAAACAATGATGGAAGAAGGGGTTTTAGCTTTGTTTAGCTGTATTTGAGGACAGGTCTAGATTTGGACTGTGTTTAGACATCTATTAGATTTCATGGTCAAACTTAGCCTTAGCTGTGTTTAACTGTATTTGATGATTAGTCTAGATTTGGACTATATTCA